GGCGGGCCCGCTGCCGGCATGCATGGCCAGCAGGCTCGGCATGGCACTGCATGGCTTGGCACAGCATGGACCAGCACAGCTCAGCCCAGCATAATTCAGCGCAGCCCACCCCAGCCTGTACCCGCCATGCACCGCCCCAGGCCCAGGAAGAGCTCTGTGCCTTTCCCGAGGGCTGAGGGTACGTGTAGTGATCGAACAGGGGTCACCAGCCTGGTCATCCCTTCACCTCCCCTCATACCTGGTCGCATCCATGTGGTCCCCCTGGCTCCTTTGGAGGGTGCCTGCTGTCTGTTCGCGTGCTTCTAGGCCCTGAGGGACAAGGACAGCTTTTGCAGGTCCCACGTCTCACTGTGCCACATTGCCCGGTCAGGCCACATAGGGTATGATCTGAGTTGTTCTGCACTATCAAGGATATATGGACCAGAGCATCGGTCCTGACACAGCGCCAGCGAAGGAGTATCTTGCCTCCCGATGTCTCCATTGGCAACAATCCCCTACCCACAACATGGCCAGGAGGGACATGACCCCACACCAGGGGCAGGGCTGAGCCTTGGCTCTGCACCACTCCTCTCCTGCAGTATTTTTTATGCTGGTGGTTTGTGGGACAGGGCGGGAAGAAAGGGAACACAGTCCTTGGCCAGTTTGAGCCTTGGCAGAGAGGCTGAAACAACAGCATGCCCACCTGTGGTCCCATCTCCCACACAGCAAAAGAATAAAAAACTGGTCAAGGGCACAAAGAGCAGATGCCAGAGAAGTGAAACAAGCACCTTGCTCGCTAAGCATGGTTGCCCCAAGGTACACACTGGGTCAGGAGCTGAAGTGCCGCCTGAGGGAAGGGCAACCAGGATACTCAAAGCCGGATAAAGCATAGCCGTGCCACTGTACACACAAGGGAAAGCTCCAGCTCTGGCCAGGACTTGTCAGAGCTGCCCTGTCCTCACCTCCAGGGAGGGAAGGACACATGAATTCAGGACGTGCTGGGGTTGAGCTACAGTGAATCTGCAGGAGAAGCAGCTGCAACCACCCACCCATGGTGCTTGCTCACCCACCCCAGCTGGTAGAGGTGAAAGGAGACCACATGCTACCATCTCTGGTGTGCTGAAGGGGGCAACTACACCACAGGATCACACAAAAGGCTGTTGTACTGCTGTCCCTTGCATTGCAAGCCCCTTAGATAGCTGGCTCTCATGGGTTTTGAGACCGCTCCCATGAAACCCTTTCACACAGGCTGCCTCTTGTGTAATTTCCAACAAATGCTTGCACAGTTTCCTTGTTATCTTCTCTTCAAGCGTTCCTTCGTAGTGATGTCTCCAGGAACTTGGCAGCAGGTAATGTGCCTCCTGTTTGGTCTTGCTATTCTATGTGTCTGCACCCAGATGTCACCTCTCGTCTTTGCATTGCAGGCTGCACCTTTTGCTTCGTGTTCACCCTGCCCCAGCTTGTGGAGGAGAGTGCTCCCCAGCTTGTGGAGGAGTGTGTCCCCCACACAACCCTGAGTCCTGAGGAAGCCAGGATGCCGCTTGCCTCCACTCAAAACAGGACTGTGATGCAGGAGGCCATCAAACGTGGCTCTGCCTGAGCAAGGCAGGGTGCAGGTGGCCTGGCTGGGGTCATGGGTTCTCACAGAGGCCTCTCCCACACCTCACTTCCCCACCACTGCTATGGGCTGAGCAGACTACAGCCATTGCCAGCACATGTAGTGACACCCAAATGGAGTCCATCTAGCTGCTGGGTACCTGGGTGTTCTGGTGCGCTTAGGAGGCAGCGCTAGGTTGCAGGAAGCATCACGCAGCAGAGAGCACTCCCAGCTCTGCTTTCGCAAGGCCTTCAGCCACCAATCCACCCACCCAAGCTGGGAGATGGGCTCTCGACTGGAGAGGTCGTGAGCTGCCATATGCATTGCTGTTGAGGCTTGTCCTGTGGGCAGAGACACTACTGAGATGGGTAGCAGGGGTTGAGGAAGGGGGAAAGCACCAATACCCATCCTGCTGTGCTGTTACCACACCACACCAACTCTGATGCATTCATGCTTCTGCATCCTTGCTGCAGCCATGGTCTCTCCTCCCAGCTCCCCACTCCACAATGAAAGACCACAAGAACAACAGCTCTTTTTTTTTTTTTCTCCTTTTTCTTTTGTACACAAATATATACAGGGTATTATACACATCTCTACACAGACAGTGCCAATCAGAGCGCAGGCCTCCGCAGGCAGAGCCCGACCACCGCCCCGACAGCCACAGGCGTAGCCCTGGAGCCACAACCTCCCGTGCAGAGACCGGAGCCCTCCCAGCCAGCCCGCCACGGGGAAGAAGGGTGCTAAATGGGCGCAGGAATGTGGAAGCAGGATCAACATCCTTGCTCCTCCAGCCCGCGACTGTGCGGGGAAGCTCTCATCTCACATGCAGATTTCATTTCGAGCCTGTCCCAGGAGGGGATGGCAACAAACCAACACGCCTTCCCGCACCCTGCACATTTGCCAGCTCATCTGGAGCCTTGGGGCCAGAGAGCCTGCCCTCTCCTGCCTCCATATCTCTTCCCCTCTGCCCCCTTGTTCTTCCAGGTCTGGAATTCCTATTAGAGAGGTGTATGGAAAAGTCAGCTACATCCTTCCCAGAGCCATGTGACTTGGGACAAGCCCTTTGCCTGCTCTGTGCCTCAGAATCCCCTCCTCTAAGAGGGGGAAAGGGAGGAAAAAAGAAGCAATCAGTCGTGACTGCCCTTTCCCAGAGCAAAGCTGGAAGGGCTGAATCTTCAATCATTTGGGTCTATAAAGTGCTTTGAGCCCAGGGCCAGAAATAGTGAATAATGATGGTCCCCTTCCCCAAGCCCCAGGAGAGCCAGCTACAGGGCACCAGGCACGGCTCCAGCAAGCCAGAGCAGCCCTCAGAAGACAGGCAAAGGGAAAGTGGTAGTGTCAGCAATGAGCACCAAACATGATGGTGGGCAGGGGATTTGGGGAAATAAATACAGCTCAAGAGCAGGGAGATTTATTTTTTCCTTTACATTTTACACAAGGGCAAGGGAGGAAGCAACTGAGGGCAAATGATCCTGACCAGAAATGTCCTCCCAAGAACCTTCAAAGAGGGTTAAAGAGCCCTGCATGTACCAGGGGCTCCAGCCTACATCCTTTGCCTGCTTCCAGCTGCAGGTCTTGAGCCTTAGGCCTACCCCTGGCCCAGGACCCCTCTGGCAACCTTTCTGTCCCCTCTTTGCTTTGGAGACACTGTCATCACCAGGGAGGGCAGCAAAGGCAGAGAGGGTGAAGTAACGGCTTCTCACGCTGGGGAGGGAAGCATATAAATAAAGCCCACACAGCTCACAGAAGCGTTGGGCTTCCTGGGAGAGGCTCCCTCCCTCTCTGACCGCCTCCTGCGTTGAGCCGAGACCCGTAAGTGCATGGAAGGCAGCGACCCGGTGGCCACCAGGCACTGCTGCCTCTGCCTGTGCCAGGGGGCTGTGTGGTCCAGGCCCCTTCTCCCCTCTCCATAGCACCCAGGAGACCTCCCCCCCAGCAACCCAGCCCTCCCTGTGCCCGCTGCAGCTGTGCAGACATAGGGCAGCACAGGGAGCTGGGGTAGCATGTGGGGGTTAGGTTTTTTTTTGAAAGGGGAGCAAAAAATGTGCAAAAAAATGCTACTTAAAAGGATGCAGCGTGCACCCCTGCAAACCTGGGGAGGGGCAGGGGACATCACCCAGGAAAAAGGTCTCCTAGAGATGAGAAACGCCCTCAGCACCCCTCATGTTGCCTGGGGGGCCCAGCTGCTCCATGCAGTGCTCCAGCCCTCCCCCGGCGGCGACACCAGCTTCCCAGACAGGGCTAGACTGTAATCCCTGCTGTGGGCAGGCGGTGGGGGCATGGGGTGTGCATGAGTGTGTGCATGTGTGTGTGAGTGTGTTTGTGTAGTGGATAGCCACAGCAGAGCAAGGGCACACGTGGCCACAGAGAGAAGGGAGAGCAGCTCTGCATGGACACAACAGCTCCTGGTGGCTCAAAGCCACCTCCCTTTGTAGCCCTTCACTGCCAATATGTCAGTTAAAGCTTTGTGTTTTTTGCCTTCCTGCAAATCTAATAAGTTATTAGTGTTCCTGTTTCAGGAGGACATAGGTCAAAGGGTCCATCTGTCCCTAGAGTCCCAGTGACGCCTCAAGGTTATCCCTGACCGCCATGCTCACCCTCTCTCCACAAAGCACCCAATGTTCCTGCTCTCCTTGGGTCCTCCTGGATCACAAAAGTAGTTCAGCAAGGGTCAAAGTCACCTTCATCCCCAGCCCCTGGGGTTGTGCAGTCTGGATATGTGTTCAAGAAGGTGGCTAGCAAGGAGCGTGCCCCTCACAGCTGCCCGGCTGGGTGCCTAATGGAGCAGTGACAGGGATGGAGGAGGCAGGGAAGTGGAGAGCCTCAGCGCCCCTGCCCTCGCTGAAGGTAGTGGCCCTGGGGGGTAGGCAAGGGCAGCAGCTGGCACCCTCTCTGCCTGCGCACTTCATTCAGTTTTTCTCTCTTTGCCTCCATGTGCGGCAGCCTGCCCAGCACCTGGGACTCCTTTCCCTTGCTCCCTTTGAGGTCCCTACTGGTGGATCTCGTTCTCTATCAGGCTGTCCTCACATGACTGGAAATCCGTGTCGTTCATGCCATCCGCATTGATGAGCTCTTCATCCTGGGACCCCTGCTCCTCGGACTCAGTTGCTTCGCCCTCAGGAGACGAGTCCTGCAGCACTTGGGCAATGTACTTCTGCTGAGGCCACACAGACAAAACAAGGGTGAGGGGTTGGGGCAGGGAGAAGAGAAACACAAATGAGCTCCAAGAGCTTCTCACAGCTCCTACAGGATTCAGCACAGCAAAGCACAAGAGGGTGAAGCACCATGGAGCTAGGAGGCCAAGTAAAGGCACAAAAAGCTAGGAGGGCAAGGAATGGCTCCCCCAAACTGCATGGGAGACCCTAGCATAGATTACATACCCATATCAGAGCCCAGCTCTCCCTAGAGAGCAAGAGGTTCCTCTTCACTTAATCTCTGCATTTAATTCTTGAACACCCTTGTGTTAGGTTCACAGGCAGCCAAGCCTGTGTTGAGCTACCCAAGGAGAAATTCCCCCTTCCCCTCTGTCCTGACTCCTGCACACAGGGAATAGGCCTGGTGGGTGTGGGAGCTGCAGTATGAACTGTCTGCCTTGGCACTGCAGGCCTGATGGCAGAAGGCAGAGAAGGGTGCAGCTGCAGCCTACCACGCTGGGGCAGTGCCCAGCCAGGAGATCTCTCTCCCCCACAGGCTCAGCTTGGGAGAGAGGATGAGCAGCATCAAGGAGCCTGGCAGCTCCCTGACCACCCCTCAGTCTCCTCAAAGACCTCAGCTGCAGCCAATTTTTTTTTTTTTTTTTTTAAATCTCATTGTGGAAGGAAGTAGCTGGAATAGAGCCAGGAAACCAAGAAGAAGTTCAGAAGAGTGAATCCGAGATCTTGGAAATAGGCAGGGGGGAGTCCCCCAAAGCTTTATGTGGGAAAAAGCATTTTCTTTGCTTTCAATACACCACCTACGGTGACTCCCTTGCATTACCTGAGGGCCAGCCCTCTGTGTGACAGACTTTCCTGATGGACAAGCACTCAGAGATGCAGAACAAGGGAGACTTAGCTGGCCTGTACTCACTGTGCTGGCTGACAGCACAGCAGAAAGTGATCACACAGCATCAAGGGAATGGAGGAAGAGGATGCAAGGCAGTCAGAAGGAGGATTAAAATTAATCACGCAGCTCAGATGAGTGGTGCAGAGCCTGACGCTTGCCTCCCCTCTCATCAGGAGGCTCTGGGTGCTGCCTGAGAAAGGCCAGGAGTGGGGCACTTGGACAAGAGGGAGGATGTGCAGGGCTACCCACCCTTCCTAAACCTGGGTAAGGACCGTGCCAGGGCATGGAGGTGGGGACAATGACTCACTGCGGATTTGGGAGCTGGCAAGTTGGTGGCAGGTCTCCCATTCTGCCTGGTTTCTATAGCATCCACCTCTGTGTGGTCAATCTGTGGTAAAGGAGAAATCAAGAGAATGACAGGTTAGCACATTTGCTGTCTTGCTACCTGCCAGCTTGCTGCAGGAGCCACACTCCAGTAAGGGCTACCCTAGAGCTCTCAGTAAAGTATAGGAGCAGTGCCCCATGGCATAGGCACAGCCCAGCTCCAGGCTGCTTTAGGAAATCTCCTCTTAGGGAACCTGGAGTTCGAAGGCTCTGCTGGGGACTGAGCTCACATGCCAAGTCTGTCTGGGGTCCCCTGAAGCTTCTGCTGTCTGACTGTTGAGCTGCTCTCCCACAGGAAGGCGCTCCACACTTCACTGCCCAACACCAAACCCTCACCTTGTAGTTGTGAGCGCTGAGGTATTTGAAGTGCCCGAAGCAGACGTGACACAGGCAGATCACAATGGTGATCACAAGGACCACAAAGGTGAACATGGAAGTGGGGGCCAGGAACCCTGGAGCAAGGCAAAATTAAAGAAAAAAGAATAAGAAAAGAAATGGCAGTGCCACAGCAGCTCTGGCTGTTCTCCATGCCCAGCAGACTGTCAGGAGCATGGCTTGCCAGGGCTGTGCCAAGCCAGCAAAGTTACTCTGTAACTGAACATTGAAGGAGGTCAAAACAAGGCACTCTGGCAGGGGCTAAGTTCCCACCCTGGCACTTACCTGTGCGCATGGTGGAGAAGAAGAGAAGCCAGAAGAGGCAGAGGATGGGGGCTGCCACAACTTGGTTCACAGCCCCTGAATGGATCTTCTTGTCCAGCTTGGCAGGCAGGTAGGCATAATACAGGTTGTACCGGTCCACCAGGTGCTTAAGCAGCATGTACATGAGCCCTGAGAGATATCAGCAGAGAGGGGAATCAAACTCTTTTCCAGTGCCTCTAACCTACAGGTAATATCTTCTCCCAACCCATCCTGCCACCCTCCAAGGCTGTCCCCCATCCTCCACTGCAGTGAGGTGGAAGGCCACTGCTTACCGAAGGGGACAATGATAGGACAGGTGATGCTATACGTCATGACCACAGTGAAGACACACATCATCCAGGCATAAGCAGCCCCAAACTGAAACTCGTAGGCCTGGTGCTGCAGGAGAGAGCAGAGGCCTATCAGTGCAGTCCCAGAAGCCAAGCAAGGGGGGCTATACAACACCCCCCTCTCTGTTACACCCACATTATATATACAGGATCTGGCTGCTCACTTTCAATGCCAGGTAGAAACCATAATCCCAGCCCCCCAGGGCAGCTACATACTCGCTTGACGTTTCGCCGCTCTGCGGCCGAGCGGGCCAGGCAGAGGCGTATCATATACATGAGTAAGCCAGGGATGCGCAGCAGATCCATGGCGTTCCCAATGAAAGCAGAGGCGATGACGTAGTTCACGAAAAAGGCCCCGTTATCTGGCAGAAACACACACCTGAGGAGAGAGAGCAAGAAAAGCCTGCTGGAGGTGTCCCCTCTACCACAAGGCAGTGCAGGGAATGAGCCAGCAGCCCCAGATGCAGGGGGCAAGGCCCAGGGGACTTTTGTCAGCAAGGACATCCCAAGCTTTCTCTCCTGCTCTACTTACTCAAATCGTACCGCAGCTTCAGCCAGGAACTTCTTGTCAAATAACCAGCGGAAAAACACATCCAAGCTGTGGGGGAACAGTAGGGGATGGGAAAGAAGAGAAAAAAGAAAATAAAAAAGCAAACTCAGAGAGGGTTGTAGACAAGGACCACATGCGTATATGCCTCTGGGCCCAGGTTGCTCTCCAGAACCAACTACTGTGCTAACACGCAGGTCTACATAGGCAGACACACTCATGGCAGTGCGATGTCTCACAGGGGCCACCGACTGCAGTTTTCCCTCTCTTGAGTGTTTGTAAAGGGGAAGTCTTTAGTGTATGGAAAACGTACTGGCAAAAACCCATGCTGAGATCTGTGCTGTGAGATCCATGCTGTAGGGGACGGTATATCAGTTCTCACTTTTGCTCTCTCCTGTTCAAGTAGGCAGCAGGAAAGGTATCTTGTTTTACACTACTGCTTTATCTAGGAGTTTTAATAAGATAGGAAGCAGGTTTTTTTCTTACTTTAATAAGTATAAAAGCTGTCGACATATATGTATAGGCCCTGCAAGAAAATCTGGAGCTCAGATAGAGAAGGATCAGCCTTTCTGTACCCTACACATGATTTTACCCTCCCTACCTACTCAATTTTGTCTCAAATGCAGAATTCACTAGTGTTACACAAAATTCTGAGTGCACATTCAGCAAAGATGTGTGGAAAAGCTCCTTCAACAGCAGATCTCAAAAAAAACCTTTCATATGGATCCATTGACCATGCCAAATTTTTGGGCATTGTTATTAACACCAGACACTAGTGAAAATTGATGCAGGATGTGTAGTGAAGGTCATATAGTGATGTAAACAACTTCTACTCATGATTCAGCAAGTTCACTAGGACCTAACTAGGTGTGATTTGGCCTGGTCCACCAATCAGAATGAAATGTCACCATCCAAGGGGACAGTGGCATTCACAGAGCAGGGAAAGGAAGTACTGCAGGATAACAACCAGAGGTACATCCCAGCCCTCCCCATGTTCCATCTCTCTGCACTTGCTTTGTCTTCCCTCCACACCTACCTACTCAGGCCCAGTGAAGGCAGCAGCAAGACCATGAAGATGAGGAAGGTGTAACACTTGTGCATGGTTGTCCTGTTCTCTCCAGACCTGAGAGCAGAGAGGAGACATTTAACTTTTCAGTGGCACTCACTCCACTCTACCCCAGAGCAGTGCTCCCATCACCAGAAGTCATAGCAGGGATGTGCCCCCAAGCACACCACATTCACCAGAAGTAGGAAAGGAAGCCCAGATCTCTTGGCCACAGAGGGAGGAAGAAGCTACCATGAAAGAGTGACAAGACATAACAGCAAAGAGGGGACAAGCTGGGAAGGAGGAGGTCTCTGGGAAAGCACTGTTGTGTAAGGAGAGGGAGCTCCAATCGCCTCAGCTGGGCTGGTGAAGCTTACTCTTCTCAGACTGGGCCTAGGCAACAACAACAACAAAAAAAAGATGTGAAAACTTTAAGCGTATTGGGCTACAATAGAGAAGAGGGGGTCACCAGGCAGACATGTGAGACAGAAGAAGGGAGAGAGCAGAGTCAGGAAAAGCCTTGCCTTCCCAGGGAGGGGAGAAAACAGACAGGGACAGGTTAAGCACTTTGTAGAGCCAGGGAATGAGCGGATGATATATTGAGAAGCAGCTGGTTTCCTTCAATAATCTGCAGGGGGGGGAAAAAAAAAGGAAAAAAGAAAAAAAAAACCCTACATCATCCTGTGTGTTTGGACCAGAGATGTGAGAAGCATGGAAAAGGGCAAAATTGCCTAGGAATCTTTAGCTGCATCTCAACCCACAGCCTGGGAAGGCCTACATATGTCTTATGGATAAATGTGGATAGACAAATATTAGAGACTGTTCAACCAGAAGGCACCTATACGAGTGATTTCTTTCAGGAGATATTCAGCTCTCCAATTTTCAACAACGCTGTCCAAACTCCTCAGCCAATCCCTGTGCACAGCCCACATTCATTCCAGTCTGTTCTAGGCATCCACCACCCTTCTCACGAGCAAGCCCTTCCCAGTGTCAAACCCCAAACTCACACTGCCCACTAGTGATACAGATCAGTACTTCCCCCCTTCTTTCTGGTGTGTCTGAAGCATGTTTTCAAGTCCCAGTTCCACCTTTTCCTCACAGGCTCTCCTAGCACTTGCACCATCCATCATCCGCATTCGCTCTCTGCCATCAGTTCACATCTGTCTTGACCTGCAGTCTTCACAACTGGTGGCATCCTCCCAATAAAGAAAGTTGACATCAAACATACAAATACATTTGCTAGTGCTCTGCACTTCAAATACATTCTCTATTGAGAGAAGCCATACCAGCTAAGGCAATTTTTCCTTGAAAAAGCTATGATTTACACATGCGTACAGGCACACCGCACCTGCACATTCGCCTTACTTAGCCCAAGACTTTCCTTGCTGCTAGCATTTCTCACAGTAACTGGTCCTAAGTTCTCACAGCTTTTTTTCCACTACTTGCAGACCTAAAACAATCTTAGCTCAAACAATCGTGCTGCAGAACAGTGTATAGGGACAAGAACTGGCAGGACAGCAGTTTGTGACAGATGCCGAGGTGTCCAAGAAGTGCCACAGAACACCACCTCTTGTAGCGGGAGACAGAAATTGAAGCAAGAGGAGCCAGTCGGGAGCTTGCTTCTGTGAGACGTGGCAAGTGCCAGGTAGCATGCTGGTACGGCTAAGAGCATGGTGCTGGCTCTCCTTACCTGGTCCAGTGTGCTTCGAAGAAAGCAGAGTAATACACAATGGTGGGCAGCAGAGCAGAGAAGCACCACAGCAACAGCGTGGGGAAGAACTGAGTGATGATGGGGTTCTGCAACAAGGCAGAGAACAGACTGTGCATTACACACAATGCAGCAGGTCTCAGGTGAGTCAGAAATGACCTGAGACTAAGCTGGTGCCCTTGCTGACAGCTGAATGCCCAGCACCACAGCGGCCACAGCATCCTGGCCAGGCTCAGCAGCCCTTCTCAGGGGCCTAGGGAGCACACAGCAGGGCATACCAGCCCCTTTCCTTGCTGTCAGAAGTTGGACTGTGCTGACAGTCTCTTGCACTACCCCCTCGCCTGTGGCAGCTGTTGTGCCTTGGAATGGTTTCACTGCTACCCACTGTCCCCTGTTGCTCTCCTGAGGCCTTACATTGAGGTACTCCACAGGCTTAGTGACATTGAACTTGTCCATAGTAGTGATGATGATAGCAGGTGTGGTGAGGAAGAAGAGGAGAATGAAGAGGACCACGTTGATAACTAGGCAGCGAATCCACCAGATGAAGCCCCGGATGGAAAGGTGTTCCCTGAGGGAGAGACAAGGCATCAGAACAGATGCATTGGAAGAGGGCAGTTTGAGAACCTCATGCCTACAATACTAGTCCAGACTGTATAAATGAGCTTAGGGTGCCAATCCCAGGTTTCCCCCTGTAGCTCAGCTAGAATGGGCTTCAGCAAACCATTTAGTTATTAGAGAAGCAGGAGGAGAGGAATATGGGGGGTAATTCACTCCTTCCCTGCCCCTGGAGCCTGCAGACCCCCACAAAAGGGCTCACCAGTAGATGTTCTGTGGGTCTGGTGCATAGCTGACTGTCCAGTTGGAGACATGGAGAGACTCGCTGCAGGAGGAGGCTCGGGGCTCCCCACGGCATGCACAGCCCTGGCACTTGCAAGCGTTGAAGTCTTTGAGGATTCTGGAGAAGAAAAGAGTGGGAGATGCTGCCAAAGAGAGTTGGCAGGGACAAGCCAAGGATGGATGGCTTGTGCTGGCATTACTTTGATCTAAGCAGAGAGCTGGGAGAGGTCCCTCGAAAGGACTGGCCCCTCTGCACTCACATGGCCGTAATAGTCTCGTTGTGGAAGGTGACAAAAGCCATTCCCAAAGGCTTCTCGTTCACCTTCTCCTTCTCCCGCTTGTAGTCATCTTTGAGTTTCTCCTCCAGCTTGGTGTAGTACTCAATGGCCTCCACCTGAGCAGGGGGACAGATACAGCAGGGACTTGGAGGCTTGCCATACACCCCAACCCCTCTGTGTCATGATAAGGGCACTGCAGGGAGAAGGTGGGCAACCAACCAACCCAGACCAGCTTATGGGGAAGCAGCTTTGTTAGCTCTGCACCTGAGTAGTAGGAAGGAGGCAAATAGGACAGTGAGGTAGAGCAAGGAAAACTGTCTGCAACTGCGCAAACTCTGTGTGGGCCACACTAACAGAGATGGAGCAGGGAAAAAAAAAAAAAAAGCTCATTTTCCTTAGACATTCCTTAAACAGAGCCCAAACTGCTATGGGGAGCCAGGTAGCTTGTAACATGCTCCTATCCCAGGACTGCCTCTGCATGCAGTGGTTGGCAGGAACCAAGAGCATTAGAGGACAACATGGGCAGCACAGTTTCCTGTATCCAATACCCTGTAGGCCCCTTTGCCTAGTACCTCATGACCTTGCCATACCTCCTCGCAGCCCCTGATGACACAGCAGCACAGGTGGCCACAGGGCTTGGGGTTGATCATGGAGGGGGTGTTCTCCTTGCTCTGTAGGTTGGTGAAGTAGATTCTCCCACGCTCAGCCTTCTTCCTGCGACAGAAAATGGGGGAGAGGAAGAAAGAGAGCGGCTCAGGAAAGCCTCTGGGGCAATGGCTTCAAAAACTAGCCTTTGCTGGGCTCACTCCTCACCTTGGCTGCACCAACACCAACCTTGTGTCTGCAGCTGCCCCTCACTGCTGCCGCACAATCCCAACCAGCCCCAGGAGTTACCTCTCTGCATCGAGGAACATCAGCCTGGCCACGTCATAGCAGGGGCGAGCTTCCAGAACAGTGCAGTTGGCATAGGCCTCCCTGCAAAGGGGAAGCACCAGCTCATCACAGGTGACATCAAAAGCCATCTCAAACACATCTCACGCGTCCAGGACTGCTGCCTGCAATCTCTACCCCTTACAAGGGAAGCAGAGTTGGGGAAAAACACTAAGCTCTGAACATGGGAGGACTCTTCAGAGTTTTGCTCTGTGAGGAACTAAGGTTATCCATAATGTTTCCAAGGATATTGGAGAAGGGGTTAAGAAATGACAGAATACCTGATCAGAGGGGAGGGAGTTTTTTTTTTTTTTTAAACAGAACTACAGTTGTTGGAGCAAGGCACATCTCCAACAGCATGTCTCTTTGCTTTCAATTGCCACAGAGCTTGGGGTCAGAAAGAGGCAGAAGGGTTCCCAAAGGGTTCAAATAATCTGTTTCCCCGAGGGTGCTTCTAAACAAACTCTTGACAATGTGTTCACCGAGGTCCTGATGGAAAAGGATTTTGGGGAGGTTAAAAAGCAAAGAGAAGCTGTACGCTTTTTTTTGCCAAATGTACAATTAAGGCAGAAGCAGCAGCACAACATTCCACAGACACTTCCTGAGTGTCTCCTGTTCTCCCTTTCTCATCCCTGAACTTGACTACCTCTTGAGATGTACTGTCACCAATAATTCCTGCTCTGACGCACGATGACTCTGCAAGCCATCTTCCAAGCTATAGGATTAATTCTGAAGTACAGTTCCACCAAAAAAAAAAAAAAAGATTTTCAGTACACTGATTTTGCCTAGATTTCTGCTCTGAATGAATTTTTGCCATCTTAAATAACGGCAGCACTATTCAAGGAAAAACATCCTTTTTTCAGGATGGACTTTAACTAGGTGTACAGGGAGACTCACTCAAAATGCTTCTTGATCTTCTCTGGCTCGGCATACTTTGAGATTCCATTGATGAAAAGAGTTCGCTTCACCTAAAAAGAGGGGGAAGAAAAACAAGAAAGAGGAGGCAGGCAGATGTGAGTGCTGTAGAAGACCGGACTGCAATGAAATGGCAAGACCAAGGCCACAGGTGGCAATCAGAAGGGCAGCTAGCTATTGGTGTACTGTATCCTGACATGCAGCAGACTGACTGCACTGCCGCAGCGGCCTGTGCAGCAAGGGCGCGGGGGAATGTACCCTTAAGCAATAAGGAAGGCAGAGACAACTAGGGAGAGCCCAAAGCCCATTCAGCAACTAGAACAACTCCTGGGCAAGGTATAAGGTGCACACATGTGTTCACCCAGCACAGGCTTCTCTGATTTCCCCACTGGGAATCAGGATTGCAGCTCTGGAAGACTATCTGCTCTCACCAGACAGAACCAAAACAAACAAGCAATCCCAACAAAAACAAAAAACAAACAACCAAAAAACCTCCCACAAACAATAAAAAAACCCCCACAAAACACAGCCAAATAAAGCAGCAAGCCCCAAGCTGCCGTAGAGAAAGAGATGCTCTTTCAGGGCACCCAACTGGGCCAGAAGGTATGGGAATCTGTGCCTTGGACAATGGTCAGATCCTGCTCACCAAATCATCCTCTTTGTAGCGCATCTTGGAGGTGTGTCGGCGCATGCTGTACACTGTCAGCAGCAGGTACAGGAAGGCAAAGGACGTGTGCAGCCACAGCAGGTTATTCCTGTCACAAGAGACAACTATACTTAAAGGCCAACACAAGGCTGCCACTGAGACTCTGAAGGCCCTGAGGCCATGAGCAGCATAACCACTATGACATCTACTTGCCCTGCTAACAAATTCCAAGGGCTCAATCTGCAAATAGGAGCAAGACACAAGCAGGAACAGCAGCCTCAGTGCAAGAACAGAAATGCAACTGTCAAGGAATTGAGACATTGCAAGAAGTGTGCATCTACCAAATATACCCTGGGAACCTCAAGTATCCATCCCATCCCTGCCCATACGTACCCAGAATTCAGGTTGGCAATAGTTGTCCTCCCAAAGCTGTAGGCATTGTTTTCTGTGGAATGAAGCAGACACAGGTCCATTTAGTTATACTGGGGGCTGTGGCAGAGAGCATCCAGTGGGTTCGGATGTAGCAGGAATTTCACTTGCAAAACACCCTAAAACTCAAATCACCCAACATGACCCTTTGCATGCTCCATCTCATGGCATAGGATAAGAATTGGAGTTTCTTTAGTCCCATCCTGCCATACTACTACTCCCTGGTGGCAATGGTGTTGAAAGCAGGTCCCCCAGCCCAATCAGAGGATCTTGGCTCTCACCTAACAAGTCCCCTGAGAAGTTGACAGGTAACACGATGCCCACAGAGAGCACGCCCACAGCCACCAGCAGCCCGATGATGTGCCTCTGGAAGGAGAGGTAATGTACCGCGTCGCCTCCACACTTGTCCCGGATCTCATCATCCCTGCCGGGGAAAAAGAGGCAGTCAGGCAAACCTCCAAGTTCCCTTGAGTGCTGAAAAAAGGGCCTTAGGTCATGGCAGCCTGCACAGTTTAAACCACTGGACCACGCAATCCCAGGATGGTGCCATGGCAGAATCCCTTGTAAAAAAACTCAGCACCTGGCCTTAAACTAGTTCGGAGAGAAACCTGACCGCACAACATTTACTGCAGCTCAATCTCTCATGCTCCTAGCCCAGGGAAAGGCAGCCAAACCCATGCAAATCACTTCCAACATGCATCTTCGTGGTGGGCCTTACTTCTACTACTGAGATACTGGATTGTTGACACTGACCAACCATGCTCTGAAGCCAGAAGTGCTTAGAAGCCTGCTCTCAAGCATTGTCAGTCTGGAGGGGTCTCCCTGCATTCTCCAGTCTCATCTTCACTGCCAAGGGCCTTTGGACAACAATATCCCTCAAAGCAGTCCCAGGCAGGGGATCATCTCTGCAAAGCAGCTGACAGTATTTCTGAGAGTTAAGAAATGCGACTGAGGCAGAGCAGACCTGAACTGGGTGCTTCACTGTCACAGACTTACTGTGTGACCTTAATTTTGGCCCTAGGATTCCTCATCCATGATGTAGGCCATCAGGCCCATCTTTGCTTGTCCTCTCCATATAGGTTGTGAGCTCTTCAGAGAAGCTGCAGCGAGAGCAGCTTTACTGCACTGGGTCTCACAACTCCATGCACTTGCTTTTCATCTTCCCCATGCAGGTCCCCCATGCAGGTCTTGGAGCACTTACTTTATCCTGAAGATGGCCGTCAGCCAGGAGCAGAAACCCTGGGCAAAGAGAAGACAAGAAGACCTTGCATAACTTTGTGCTCCCTTATCCCTGTTCCCTCCTTTAGAGGCCAAGGGAACCAGGCTGGTCTCTTTGCACATCCATAGACCTGGGCTCAGGGCAAGACAGGGACAGATCACAATTCCCCAGAAGTGAAGAGCTACAAACATGTTCATCTGAGGGAGATGAGTTCTCTCAACATACTGTGCCATGGGAAGCAATGCAGGCTGGACTTTGCCACCAGATTGCACCCTGGTAACTAGTAGCATAACTTCCTGGGCAGAGGAAACCAAGCTTTTTCTCCTCAGTGGACATCCAGGGGAGAAATGTCTCGTAGGAATTTCATCCCCTCATTCACCATACCCCATTTTTTGGTGAACTGTAACCCCACCTTAAAGAAGAAAGCAGCAGTGGTATTTTGCAGTGAGACAAGAGGAATAGTCAATAGACTTCTCTTGGTGACTATGGCTTGTGAGGCTGAGACTACAGATCGGAAGGGATCTGCAGTAAGGTGCCAGTAACATAAACTACTGATTAAAGCTTCTGACTAGGTTTCCACATCTCCCTGAGCTCTACTCCATGTTCACACACAGGTATTGGACCTAAAGTTCTATGATAGGGAAATAGCATTATTTCTGAAGAGCGCTTAGTTCAAAGAGACTGTGGACTCCTAGCCACTCAAAAGCAAGACGTTCGATTCTGCTGCTTGCTGCTACTCACGTTGTCCCGCTGATCAAAATCCACAGAGCTAGAGACGGAGGTGAGGCGCTCGTAGCGGTCATGGTTGTCAGAGTGCAGAGCAGAGGCCACGCTAAAATGACAAGCAGAGGTGACAGAAAACTGAAAGATGAGAGGAGGCAGCTTGGCCAGGAACCAAGTGCACCCAGAAGATCAGAGGTTAATTCAGGTGAGTTTGCCCCAGGTTAGATGGAGAGAGAACAGTCTCAAAGAACAGAGGAAAGCAGTAAGCAGAGAGCCCCTCCTCAGACAGCGCTGAACCAGCCAGCATCTGGAGTCTGCTCACAAACATGAGCCTTGGCTCTGCCAGCCTTTGTGGGCTTAGGCACGGACAGTGCTCCCTCAGGAACCTTAGTGCCTCTTTTACAGAGGTACCCACTTTATGCATAGCGTCCTGTGAGGGGGCCTTGGCAGTGGCTGCCTCAGAGGAGAGATTAGGTCTGATTAGTGCAGAGTTTAGAAAGAGGAAAGGAGACATAAAGGGGAGGGCACCACAACAGGGGATAAGTGTTCAGACAGGGGCTCCTGTTTTTCCCTTATAATGCAACTGCAGAGATGAGCCCAAAGCTCTAGGCCTGCAAAGCTCTTTGCTAGCAAGTATTGCTGAAGCCAAGAGGCAGAAAATACAGCCCACAAAGCCGCAGGGGGGCTGGAGTGGAGTGGCACTATGGCTACGTGTGCCAGCCAAGACTCGCACACAGGAGGCTGCCTCCCAGCCCACCGCCTTCTAGGGGTGTCAGCTCTAGACCCTTTTGGGGTCGATGCAGGCAAAAGCCTGCTGGCTCAGCGGAATCCCTGCTCGCTGTCCCTCACTGGAGAAGGAACTAGTGACCAGGCATTTTTAAGCACCGGCATACAGAGCAATAGCTGTTCTGTGATAATTTACATCCACCTATTGCAATCAAAGGATATGAAGTGGCAGCAGAAATCTCTTGCCTTGAAGCACGCTTTACCCTGCAGCAAGAGGGCGAGGGAAAGGATGCAGGGGAAGGAAGGAGGTCCCCCTCGGACGTGCCGGGCCGCTGTGTGGCCACGAGGCGGCAGCCCCGGCGCTTCGGAGACGCCTGCCAGGATGGCAGCTGGGACAGCCGGTCTCGGCAGACCGCACTTGCCCTAGGAAAGAGGAGGAGTGGGAGCCTGGCAGACCATGTTCCTGCTATACCCGTCCTTCCGCCCCGTAACACTTCAGTGCAGAGGAAACCCAGGAAAAGGAGAAATCCAGCTGAGCCACTATTGTCTTTGCTCCCTGAAACCAGGCTCAGCTCAGCTTCCTCCATGGCATGACCTGGGTCTGTTAGCTGGAAACCCCTAGAGCGGGAGGCGGTGACAAGTGAATGGCTGCAGGCTGAAAGGCAGGAAGCGTGAGAGGTGAATACCCCAGACTGCTCTACTCCACGCGCAGGTAGGGACCTAGAGGAACCCACAGTGGAAACACCAACAGCCCTCATTAGGAATGGGATAGAAGCAAGCTGGCAAATTAGATATGGAAATAGTCCAGAGACCTAAGTGAAACAGCACTCATAAAATGGCAACCGCAGGCTGGGATCTCGAAGGTGCAAGAGATATGGTTGATCTGAGGGACAAAAGCAAGGAAAACAGACAAAAACATGGTCTCTCTGTAACCAGTACAGACTCAAGAATTAGAGGATAAGAACCTAGAGAAGAAACAGCTGTGAGATAAACACCAGTGATGAGGTGCATGACACTATGCGAAGGAAAACAAGCAAAAACTCTCATGACCCTGCCAGAGGGAAGGGAATGGGACATGCTGCCTCCCTTGGAGAGCAGAGCAGCACCTGCTGAGCCCTTAGCTGGAAGTGAGACAGAGAGGGAAAAGGAGATTAGCTGAAGGTCATGGGACTACAGGAGAGCAGATTAGACAGCAGCATATAGCCTTGCGACAACTGCTAGTTGTGTGAGTTAGCACATACTGCTCCAGTGGAGAGGTGGAGTGCTCCTCATAGGGGCTTCTGTGCCTTCAGCCCTCTAAAATCCTAGATGCTTTGCAGCTGGGCACAGGGAACAAAGGTGAATTTCTGCTATCAGCAGCTTTGCGGAGATCCCATGCAATACCTCGAGGTGGTTTTGGCACCTCAGGCACCAGAGGCACCTAAGGGCAGAACAGTACTGAAGGAAACAACTAAGAGCGCCACATTACTAGATCACCCTAGGAAGGACTTGCAGTGCTAGGAAGATAAAGGGTGCCCACCCATTCCAAGGATAGCATAGTTAAGGGGAAGCTCCTTGGAGGCAACCGCTTTGAGGTTGGAAGCTTTTAAAAGCAAAGCATTAACAAAGTGAGTGAGAGGAGGCATCATTGCCTCAGGTCCTAACCCTGGGAGGCCTTGGGTGATACCTAAAAGACCTCTTCCATGTCCACAGTCCAGGTTTGGTCCCAAGAGGACAAGAGAGGAACTAGATCCAAGGCATTGCCAATTGCAGGTCAAGGAGACCTGCAGGCTATGGGGAAGGGCAAGCTGTCAGGCAACAGATTGCCTGTGCAGGCTGCGGAGGAGGTTTGTTGCAGTGTGGTGCCAGAGGTGGCCATGTGGATGGCAAATCCCACAGAGCTCTGCGATGACTGCTCTTAGTAACGGAGGCGGGGAGGTAAATTGCCTAACTGCTGAGATGGGAAGATATCGTCAGTCTCAGAGGAGCACAGATCAGGCCAGGTTTCCTCTCCAAGCTTCAGAGACATTGGAAGTGACAGTTGCCAAAACCAGCCTTGCTCAGTCACTAGGTTTGGGAAGTTAGAAGGGAGCTTCAGCCAGCCCAGATGAGGAAGAGGAATAGTGTCCTGGAGAGATGATGGAAGTGTTCCTCCAGAAAGACCAAGTTCTGGACATCGGGGCAGGGGCATGATGGCTCTGCAACCTGCCTTGCTCCCCCAACTACATGTTAGTGCTGAAGAGCTACCACAGCTCACCTGGAGCAGGTCCAATCACTAGGAAAACATTCAAGCATGAGCAAGGGGTCCCCATGTACAAAGCCACCGCTACCATCACTTTTGTTTTCACAATCCCAATGACTCTGCTTTGGGAGCAAGGAGCTGCCACAAAAAGAAAGAAGCATTCCTGTATCCTCTAGAGGCTGTAACAGCAGGACTGCTCCCTTACAAGAGAGTTTGACAGAAATGAGAAGCAAGATTGCAGCATGTGGGCTTCAGGCTTCAGCTGCTCCCTTCCACATGCCCTGAGTGACCATTTCAGGCTCTGTACCACTAGCAGACCATCTCCGCAGCATGCACCACCCAGCCAGGTGGCAGGGCATGGGGGAAGGTCACTGCTTAGACATAAAGCAGCAAGAAAGGACAGAGTAGGAGGGAGGGCGCAGGATAGTGCTGAGCTGGCAGCAGGCTGCAGTCTTCATGGATGCCCTGGAAGCAATGCCAGACCAAGGTGCCGGATGATGCTCTCAGCCGTGCTGAGGCAGGAAGTTTGCTTATGTGAAAATATCTGGGATGCAGAAAGAGAAGGGACGAAGGCGCTGCCTTGCTGGGTATGCTGCCAACCTAGAGTAGGTGGTAAGTGAAAAGGGCCAACACTCACAGAGCCTCACAGAGGTGAAGCAAGAACTTGCGCCTCTCAGCCAGATCCTCTCAGTGTACACGTGTGCCCTGCAGCTTGTTCGGGAGAAACCCTTGTGGGTCACTGCCACAAGGAAAAGAACAGGCAAAGGGCAGCTGCTCTCGCGCCCAGGTGACCCGAGTAGGCTGCGTGCTGAGGCAACTGAGTTTAGCTACAGCTGCTCAGCTGCAAAGTGGGAGGGCCAGGTACTGGCAGGGGTGTGACATGGCATCCTTCACCTCAGCTGGAGCTAGTTGCTCATCACCACTGCTACCAGCAAGGGGCATCTAAGGGCTACCAGGGGAAAAACAGGGCACATTCAGCTGTGGTGAGTGGCTGACACAAAGGAGAAGGAAAGAAAAGAACACGAATCCACTGGGGGAGACAAATCCAAGCCCTGAACTCCTAGTCAGTTAAGATTAGTTCAGAAGCAAGAGAGAAAACTGCAAAAGAAAGACAGAAAGAAAGAGAAAGGAAGAGAAAAAGCAAGACCCTGAAAAAACAACATACTATTCCCGCTCCTCTCGCTCCGTCTGCCAGCGCCGGCGCCTGGGGGCACAGAAACAGAAAAGGAGAGGTTACAAACACAGGAACAGGCGAGTAAGGGCTGGGGTCTCCTCCATCCCAGGGGACTTGTACCCAGCAGGGCTCCACACCAGCCTGAGGAAGAGAAACCTGCTGATGGTTAGGCCAGAGAGGGAAACCAAAGGGAAAAGTTCCTTCTGGATCTCAGTGTTATCCTGAGCCAGTGATACTCCAAAGTCCTCCACTGGCCTCCGGGCTATGCTGGCAGACAGTGTTCTTTGTCACAAGCCCAAAGGAAGCCAGTTTGTTTGGGAAGGCAGCCCAGGTTGATGCTCCAGCCATACTGGTTTGTTCCTGAGGGACTAGGCCCGGCTGGACACCCTGCAAGAGCTGCCCGCCAGCTCTCAGCAGCTCTCTAACCTCCATTCCACCCCTCTCCTCCCTGTCCCAGGGCAGTCAACATGTGTCATGGGATAAAACCCCTGTATCCCAAAACTCTAATCCTGCCTAAGGGATGGGCCAAGCAGCAGGAACACCCAGGCTCTGTGAGCCTCAGCAGCAGGAGCTCCCATCTGCGATCCTAAACCTGCTGTCCCTGCTTGTACCAGTGGTGCTGCAGTCCTTACCAAAGCCTTGTCTCTCTCCTCCCTGCACTTTGCAGCTGCCCCCAGCCAAGCATAAGGCACCCTCCTAGGGCCCATGTCTCCCTGGCAGACAGCCAAGCACTCAAGCATCAGCTCCAAGAAGGAGCCATCTCTCTCTCCGCTGGGAAGGCCGGAGCAGCAAACACCAGGCTCCGGAGCGCGGCGATATACAGACACTAGCAGGGAGACCAAATCCATCTTTGGTCTTCGATAACATTTATCATGTAGCCCAGGCTGTGCCAGCCTTCCCTGTTGGCAGCAAGTCACGATGCAAGTTCAGGGATATAGCTCTGACCCTAAAAAATCTCTTGCCCAGTCAGTCTCCAGCCACCTCTTCCTCACTGATGCCTAAGTCAGTATAGCTTAATCCTAAGGAGAGCTACTCTCTCCCCAGTGAAACTTCATCTGCCTGTTCCCTCCTCTTGCTCCTCTTTTTCCCTAAGGCCCTTGCTTGGCTGATTTCCCCAGTCGAACCAGCAAAGGAGAGGCAGAGCTGCCACAGCAACACTACATATCTAATCCAAGAAAGCTCCTTGTTCAGTGCTGGAACAAAACAACTCTGTTATTCTTTCCACTGCTGTGCAGGGAGTGCCCAGAGGCAGCTTTTTTGAATTGGTATCACCAAGAGAACTGGAAGAGGCCAGAGCTCAGCCCCATCCAAGCCCCCGGGCCTGTGGAGATGACCAAGAAGAAGGTGCATAAACGCAGCCTGCCTTAAGCCACTCTTCGCCTCCAGCACATGACATACAACAAACCATCTGTGGAGCTTACAGCAACAGAGCGAGGCAGAGTGCCTGCACAAATCCTCTAGCTTCATCAGGATGAGTCCCTTGTTCAGTGCCAGAAGAAAATAACTTTTAGTCTTCCTGTCGCTAACAACAAGAATAGCAATGCACGTACTTGAAAGCCTTCCCACACATTTCACACCACTGTGGAATTATCAGAATCTTAGAATGGTTCAGGTTGGAAGGGAGCTTTAGAGATCGTCCAGTCCAACCACCTGGCACACGCAGGGTCACCTAGATGATGACCAAAAGATGGAGTAGCTCACAGCACAGTATGCACGGTGGACATGGAGCAGACTAACTCTTCAACACTTGGGACCTGAACTAAACTTTTGTTAGCACAGAAGCAGACACACAGCCATTACGGCTCCTTCCACTCATTCCTGCCTCACCACCC